TTAACTTTGTTACATTACACACAAATCTTTAGGAGAAATGATTAATATCTGATTTTCTGTTTACAACAGTATAGTATTTATAATAGTTGTAAGTTCAGTCACATACTGTACCAATGTGGCATTCTGTTTAGTTATAGTATAAATCAAAGACAGTATTGTTGAATCTAGAAGAGTGGTTATTCCCATTTTTCTTAAACTAATAACTGTAAAAAAAAAACAGGAGTGCTTGAACGTTTTGGGGATTTTAATTATTAAACCTAAATACTTAAATGTAATGTACTGTGTTATGAAGTTTGGATGGCTAACTTTTATTGTTTCTTTCCAGATATTCTACATAGAACACAGAAAGCAGATCTTGCTGGTTAAAGCTGATAACAGCCAAGTTCCAAAATGGTTCACTATGTTAACAGGAAATGATGTCATCACAGTAAGTGTAAACTGTCTCTATTATAGTGATGGTTTGAAATAAATTGTTGCTTAACGAATATCAGAAGTTCCAAAGTGGTTCACTATGTTAACAGGAAGTGATGTCATCACAGTAAGTGTAAACTGTCTCTATTATAGTGATGGTTTGAAATAAATTGTTGCTTAACGAATACCAGGTGGCCATTCCTAAAGATAAAATACACAAATCAAAGTAACTGAAAAAACTAAACAAAAACACAAAATATTACGCTCTTTACTTTTAAACGTTTTCCCATTTAAACATTTTTCATCATAAGATGCGACTCCTAAACAACCGATGTTACAAATATTTTAAATGTTACTATTTTTTTTTGTGTATGTGTTGTTTTCAACCAAACTGATGAGCATCAGTAGTTCAATACCAAAAGGTCTTTTGTGATGGTGATGCATGACATGAAATTATAGAGCCCCTTCAGTGGAAACATGTAGTTGTTAATTAAGTACATATATATATTAGATCGTGTGAATCACCTACCTCTTAATGATGTTTCATCAATTTGGATGTAACTCATTGTAGGACGTTTTATAAATTAAAAATGTGTGTGTTTCATTTCGTAATAAAATATTTATATTGGTTTACTAGAATATAGGAAGTGAACAGTCTATCACGGCTTTAAAGATGCGGGTGAAGCGAGCACTCAATCCAGACACCTCTGTCACGCCAAAAGACGGTACAGTTGAGGCAAAGATGAATTATCTTGTAAGTATTTGATCAAGAAATATCTTTTAACCTGCTTAGAAATACTCTTCTTAGCTGATAAAGCATAACTTGGTCTTTTGAAGTAACTTAAGCAGTAATCAGCTGCCACAAATGATGATGTTACTGTCTATAATCAGTTTCAGATTTTCAAATGTTCAGTTTGTAATCCACAAACTGTGACCTTAATGTTAGGTTTAATGATACTCAGATTTTTTTTAATGCATGTATAGATATGACTGGTTAATGTAATAACTTAAACTGATCTAGAAAAACGTGTAGTTGAAAAAAAAGTTTTGGATTTTTCCTTGAAAGTACATTTCACGAATCGTATGTTTTTTGTACTCTGATTTCATAAGAAATAAAATATTTTATTTTACAATACTAGATCAGGCATGGTAAACATAATGTCAATTTTCTTCTGATATTATAGGTGAAATTTCTAACAAAGAATACACCACAACTGGATAACTGTGTATTTGTCACTGGCAGCAGTAAACTGCGTAACCCTAGAACAGAGGAAATTTGTAGGTAAGTGCACAAATCTTACACCTACAGAAGAATTAGGAGTCCGACTGACTCTGTAAATAAGAAGTTTATACTTAAGAAATATACGTTTTAGTATTTTAAGGCTAGAAATATGAGAAGTTAGCAAACAATAAACCGTACACTTTGTTTGTTACAAGAGTGATATCTGACAAGAGTACCCCAAATGTTGGCAGTGGGGGGTGTTGACTAGCTTCCTTCCTTGTAATCTATCTCTTCAACAATGTTGACTAGCTTCCTTGTAATCTGTCTCTTCACAATGTTGACTAGCTTCCTTCCTTGTAATCTATCTCTTCAACAATGTTGACTAGCTTCCTTCTTTGTAATCTATCTCTTCAACAATGTTGACTAGCTTCCTTGTAATCTGTCTCTTCAACAATGTTGACTAGCTTCCTTCCTTGTAATCTATCTCTTCAACAATGTTGACTAGCTTCCTTCTTTTTAATCTATCTCTTCAA